TCGATTTTTTTTTTTTTTTTTTTTTCTTTTTCGACGTGCATACAGTACACATGCACCCCCGACATCGAAGTGTGAACCACCAGTATGGTACGACCAGACCTTCATCGTAGTCTTCTAAAGAGAAGCGCGTGTAGCTCGTCCTCAGATGCACGAGAGGGCGTGAGGATTCGCACAACCTAACAACAACAACAACAACAACAACAACAACAACAACAACAGAAATGTGCCCCCTTTTTTTTTTTTTTTTTTTTTTTTGAACACTTTCATCACTTTCAACACTTGGCATATTTTATAGAATATTGAATATTGAGCAGCGCACCTCTGGTTTTGCGTGCGCTCGAGTCAGCAGAGCGATCAGCTCGCGGTCGTCCCTCTCGTGCGGGCTCTCCGCCCTCCCGCTGCTGTCGCTCGGCCCCCCACTCAGGTCAATCTGTGCTTGCATTCGCTGCGCCAGCTCCGCATCAGATAAGTACGTCGCCGGGGCGGCGGCCGGGGCGACAGCAGCCGCCGGTGGCGCTGCCGTCGCGGACCGCGCCGCCGAACCTCCGAAGTGAGCAGGCAGAACAACGTCCTCTACTGCTTCCAGCAGCACACAGCCTTCTGACTGCAAGAGGCGGCCATGGCGGAGCGCGAGTTCCACCGTGTACTCGGCCAAGAGCTTCTTCGCCTCGGCCTGGCGATAGGCAACGGACTTGTCGCCCGCCCGCGAAGTGGCCACCTTCCTGGCGCGCGCCAAAACTGCCGTGTAGGTCTCCGCCCCGGCAAGGGGCGGCAGCCGAGTGGCCACCTCACCCAAACGGAGGACCAACTCCTCCACAGTGCCCTGATCGCAACCGAGCCGGTTGCGGTCGAACACCCGCCCAAGGTCCAGCGTTGCCCCGGCTCCCGGCACCAGCGCCGTGTAGCACGGCAGAGCGTAGGCCGCCGTGGTCGCGTCCACAAACGCGGCCGTCTGGCGGTCGGGCCGGGGAGGCAGCCCAGGTGGAGGCGGGGAAAGCGGTCCCATCGGCGCGCTGGCAGCCGCTGGGGCCGCGGCAGCCGCCGCCGGGGCAGCAGCCGCTGAGGAAGAAGGCGCCGCCGCTGAGGAAGCCGTTGTAGGAGAAGCAGCCGCCGAAGCCGCCGCCGTGGCGCGCCGCGTGTTGCGAGGCGGCATGTTACGACTCTCGAATATATCCCTTCTCCTATATAGCTCCGGCGTATTTCGGGAGAGAAAAGGGGGACTGAACTAGGTGGGGTCATTTTCCAACATCCTTTCTGGAATATCTGACTCTTCTCGATTTCGTTCCGAAATCTAGATGCGTCTCAAATCCGAGATTACTTGCTAAACATTTCCTGATGTCGAAAACCAACAAATTCAGTCGTTGAACTTGACATTTCTATCGTTTTCCCCGCGATTGCCTCTGTCAGATGGGCCAAAATCACTCATTTGTTATGCTCTAGTGAAGCCAAATCGCATAAAAAAGAGCCTCCGGCGGGGCGCCTCCTCACCAGCCGGGGGGGGCCATGGTCGCGGCTGTGCCGCGACCGCGCGGCTTCGCCGCGCCACCTGTGTACTGATCGGATCCGGTATACTGGCGCTGCGCGCCACCCAACCCTATTTTTAGGGTAAGTTAGCCTGTGACCACGGGAATCGACCGCGTCCAGTGTTGGATCAGTCCGGACATATGAAGGTACTGGGTAGAGAGAGATCGGGACGGTTTTTAATGTGAAGACAACGACAGCAACAACAATTAATCTGTGCCCACATCCACGCTACGAGCAAATCTACGTCAATTCAGCCATTCAGCCTGAGCAAATTACGGCGCCTTTTGAGCTGCTGTGCATACCACTACGAACACAGAAAGACGTCCTCAATGTCAGTGCATTCACTCACTCAAATCTAATGACCGTTCACTTCTTCGCGTCTGGCTTGAGTCCTACCATTCAACTGCTGTCTCCCATCTTCGTCGACATTGTACCCACTCTGTTTTGTGCAACTTCCCATCGAACCTTTCCCGAATTAGTCACGCGTCTCCATCCGAACTCACCACCGGTTCAAGGTCTGTGCTCCATGTTCCTCTCTCTTGGGGCGCGCTATCACTCGTCGAGCTGCTCTGACAGCGCATCTACCTGACAGCGCATCTACCGCGAGATCCGCTTTTCATTATTTTTACTATGCGACCGTTCGTTTCTACACAACACTTTGCGGACCGACCGCTTTCCTTCATACCCTTCACCCATACACTTCCAAAGGTCGGGACCACCGCCGCCGACGCTTCTTCAACCCCGGCCAAAAAGCCCACCTAGAAGGGGAAAGGGCAAAGCCGGCGGATCGCACGTGATAACTTCAAACTGTTCTCAGTCCTTGCCATTATTTTGTCATTCTTTGCCTACCTTTGTCTTCGCAGCACAGATATGAAATACATGCAGGCACACGGGGGAGGATGGATTTTCTCTTCCAGCTTTGGCGTACCACAACAAAAAAAATATCGAACCCTGTTCCTTCCTACAGCACCAGTAGACCTGTACTTGCCACTTGGAGGGCGTGTGTGTATTTCAGGTATATTGACGTTGCCGTGTGCACGACGTGAAGATACACGATGCACGTGATGGCTTCGAAGTATATACTTCAGTTAGCGTTGCTTAGCATTCTTTGTCTAGGCTATTCCTGTTTCCCGCGATGTTCTTCGCGCAATGTCCACTCCTGCCTTGAATGTTTCTTCCTGCTTCCTGCTATCTTCGTTCAATTCAAGGATTGATTCTATTTTTCCTCGTTGTTGCCTCTTGCTTCCCAAAAGGTTTGAATATTGAAGTTTCGGGTTAATGACCCGCCGGCCGTTTTCGCCGTGTCCTCGTCTGAGTAGAGTACTTTCTTTTCGGGTTTTGTTTTCCGCTTGTTTCGTCGTGGTCCAGCCAGACGTATGCCGGGAAGTTCGATAATGTGTGAACTTTCACCAAACGCCTCCCCTCTATCACGGACAGTCATCCTATCGTCTCGGCCCGCGCTCATGTATCTTCACTTCAAAAATAAAACCTGAAAAATACCACGGTGGTAGTCAAGGGTACACGAAAAAAAAATTCCTGGACCCACACTCCACTTTTTTCATTTTGGGCCGGCCGAGGAGGGGGGGTTGGGTGGGGAGGGGGGGTATTTCTCTATGTACTCTAAATCCTACCTTCAACGACTCCACACTTGTTCCTATACATACTGTAGTCAACCAATACTTGTCTCGGTACTGCCGTATGTAGGTCTATAAATAAATGCTGGCACCTGCGGCGTGGTCTTACACTTTAGGCAAGTGGCATGAATCTCCTGACTGAGCCGGTGCTTCTGATACATATACCTGATCCACATCCCGTAGCCTCGGAAACGTAATGTATGTAGTCGAGCTAAGCACACCACAAGACTCTGTTTGCCATGAAACCCAGGTTGTGAGCCTTGGGTGAGCTACAGAAGCAATTCTGCTCTCTTGCTGTCTTGCTGCAGTGTCTCTGTTGGTTAAAGGCCGGGAGATTTGCTTTTGAATTTGAACCCGTAAGAAACGCGGCGAGATTGACTGGTTGACCCATGATGACTAGGGGCAAGTAGGCGAGTGAAAGGGGCGTCTTATTGGGGGCGGGGGCAAGGCGGGGGAGGAGAACCAGCCTGCGAAGAATCACCTGAGCTTGTACCTTCCGGGGTGATTGCCCCATAAATCATAATAACCGGACTCTTACCGGGACCAAGCTTGCGGGGACAGGAAAAAATATTGTTGTGTATTGGCAAGTGTTGTTGATGTGGACCACTTGTTCAACAGTTGTTGTTGTCATAAAAACCGTTCCTATATCTAAGCCCAGTACGTTTGTCAGTCCATACTGATCTAACAGTAGACGCGGTCGATTCCCGTGGCCACAGGCTTGGGCAAACTCAAATAAAAAGGAAGAGCCCGCAAGCCAATAAACAATAACATCAACGACAGAATAAAATATGTATACTCGGAGTATAGGTAGGCTGCCCCCCCTTCCCCCTCTACAAGTGAGATAACGATGAAACCGGATGTCACAGCACCGGCCGGAGAAGCACACCCTGCTGTAGTTCAGTCTTGGTACCCCTATACTGCCGGCGGCGCGGTGTTCCGCAGTCCATGCCGCCGGTCTTCCAGGCCGAGTTGGCGAACAATCTATAACAACAGCGGTCCTCTTGATACCACCTCTATTTTTTGTTACTACACACTCTACAAACATCAGGTTTCCAGGAACACCTCACAGTCGAGGTTCTTCATTTCGACAAATCTCTTGTTGACCAACTGGAGGCACACTGCAGGAACAGGGCTTCGAAATAAACGCTTTGTTTCGAGATATTTGTTTTTCATTTTGGACCGGCTGAGGGGGGGGGGGGGTAGTGTGACTCCAGGAATTGTATTTTCCCCTTGCGGTAGTCAACGTTTCCGTCTTCTCGTCAAGCACTACTGTATGTATTATCCGTTCCCACATCCAAATCGCTGGTGACATTATGTTGTCAACATGGTGATGACTTCGGGGGTTCGTATGATAGATAGATCCAAGTCGTTGGCACCACACCATAGTCACGCCGGTGACATCGAGGTTCGTATGCCGCTTCCTCTGCTTTTTTCCGCACAGCATCCTTTCAGAATTAACCGCTTTCCAACGAAAACATTTTCCTCATCCATACGTCCGGTGGGTCACCACGTCGAACCGTCTTCTTTCGTTTTCCCATATTGTCTCCTTATTAGTCAATTCACGCCCGCTCTCTCTTATCCGCCCTCAAGAACAATCCTTCTCCATGGCTTCAGTTGAGTCCGGGGCTAACGCCGGGATGCTGTTTCTAGACGCTCTGACAAAACACCAGGTGTTCTACAATTCAACCTTCCACATCCATCCCTTGAAACGGTCGGCAAATTTCCAAAGCAACCTTCTTTGAGGTTGTTCATGCTCAATAAAGCATCTTCGCGACCCTCCGTTCACCGAACCTATCTCAGGTATACTGCAAGGAAGAGACGCCGTTGGCGACGACGTTTCAAATGAGAAACATGCACCACCTCCGTCTAGCGACACACGTCATATCTTCCTTGTTCTACATCAAGGTCACGAACGTTTACGCGCAGTGCATCATGGAAGGCGACTCGGTGAGAACACTGCGTGATTTCCCGTACGGCAGACAATCGTACGAAACGCATTTAGTCGTCTCCTTGGTCGGGCAACATTTTATTTACTCGCTATGAATCGAACGTGCTCTGGCGTGGATGTTCTGCAATATAACGTCCCAACACAATATATTCCTCGAGCAACGCACTGCACCTTGGTCCTCATCACGTAGTCTCACTCATATACCCGCGCGATGGAAGCTGAACCAACCCGTGCGATGCGTGCATGCGTTTGCTTCCTCCCCAGTGCACCGCCCTCGCGGTCGATGTTGCTGCCGGTTGCGCATCCGAAGGTGCCATTGGGGAATGTGCTCCCAAGGGGTTCACGTCTGATCTGTACTGCAGCACGGGCGTGTCGCCGTTTCCTGTGAGTGAATTCCTAGGACTACTGTACGCAGCAACGCAGAAAGTATATACATAGGTAACATGCTTTCCCCTGTTCCCTGACTGTCAGAAACACAGCAGTATGGCCCAAATAGCAGCAGATACATGCATGCTGGGTTGTGGAATGAATAATACAGTAGTGCATATGAGGTAAAGCAACGAGTATGTCTGTCGCGGATATCCCTTTTGTATTGTGCAATGCGCAGCTATTCACAGTAGCCATCTACGTTGATTTGCATGTGGCAACCACAACAGGATTATGGAATGCCCACGGGTCTCTGAGGACTGTCAGTCAGAGATACCTAGACGATCGTTTTCTGCTCACTCTTCATCGTCACCATCAAAGCAACCTGTTCTGGGTTTCAACCAGCAACAACAACGACATGTAGCATTGCAATCACCACTGTCTGCAAACGCATATCCCCGCATATCCCCGAAAGGGCGCGGGGAACGATGAGCCGGAGGCAAGCAATATCCCGCTGATTCTCGAAGAAGTCGCCGGGCGAAGCGGGCAAATCACATTTGGTGGCCGCGCTGCCTTGGCGCTGCCCTAAGTTTGTACCACGTCGTTTCTGTCGATCTTACATGACAATACTGGTGTCAAATATTACAGTGTTCATCGTGCCAACTGCAACAGACCGCAACCGCCAGCTGACCTCCTTGCGTATAGACTACTCTAGCGCATTGAAAAGCCCCGCCCCCAGTTTATGGATGCCCACGAAATGCAAACGGAATGTATGTCTGGTGAACGTTGTGTACCGGGAGGAAGGCTTTGGTTTGTCCAACACATTCATTCATTCAAGGACAAATTGGATCTGCATATGACTGCATTGGAAGATTGATCGGACGCCCGTGTAATATTTCATAGACTTCCATCCTGAAACGTTACATGGACTTCCATGGACATGGTGCTGTGGACTACCATGGAATTCTATGGCATTTTTCATTGTTTCCACGGACTTCCATGGACCGTTCCAAGGACGTCCATGGGAATGTCCATGGCTTTCCACGAAACATTCCATCCACCAAAAGTACAACAATGTAAAAAACTGCGATATGCAGACCACGAAGTTCAGTAACGATGCAACCACTGTCGGCCTGACTGCATGAGACTACGTGATGTACGCGGCAACACATGCGAGCCGCAGTCGCGCACCCTCCTGCCAGAAATATCATATTATGACATTTACGCTCCAAATTTTCATCATCGAGCGTTACAGTAGGTGATACGGCCCTCTGCGGGTTTCCCACACATTCTACAGTTTTTCTAAAATCGTCCACGGGCAGCCCATGGGGAATGCCCACGGGCAAGCCCATGCGTGGCCCGCGGGCGGCCCATCGGCATGCCATGGGTGGCCAACGAGTACCCTTCGACCGGGACCAGGGTCCTCCAAAACTATAGTGGAACGGGCATGATAACGGCTACAATAATAGATCTAACGCTAACCTTAACCCTAACCCCAAACCCACACGATACGTGCTAGGTTGCCGCGTGGTGGCTACGTTCTAGGTTGATACGCCGGTGGCGAGTTCTAGGTTGAAGTGCCCACGGTGGGCAGTTTATGGGCTGCTCTTGGGCCCGCCCATGGGCTGCCCATGGGTGCCCCATGGGTGATGGGCGGTTTAGTGAAACTACCAGTAGCCTGGGAGGTTGGCCGAAATTCGCGCGAAAAATGGCTCCCATATTACGGATAATATGTCGAGTTGTCATGAAACTTTCAACGGGCGGTATCTTTTGGTACCATGGACCGAGATCCATGAAAATCGTTCAAACAATTGCGACTGCTTCGTTGAAGCAATCATCGCCTCGTGCGACTATCATGCTAGTGAATGTTTTGGAACGTTTGCTTGTACTTCGAACATAATAACATACTTGAAAAATAGCTTATATCATTGGGTCAGAATAGTCTAGTCTGCCTTTGTCAGACTGCTGGACACGCACGTTCCATAATCATCGTTGCTCATAACCACATCATTTTCGTCACGACTTTCCTCGGAAAATTCTGCGCAGATTCTTTCCCGCGGTGAATCGGAATCACCTTTCCCACCCAAATCGTCCAGGTTTCCATTCATTACATCCCAACCCGTTTCCAACAAAATTTGTCTATCATCTGCGAACGTCGGGTGGGACGTCGTGACGTGATATATTTCTTGTTATGAGTATGGGAAAATATAAAAAAAAGATGGCTCGATTTTTGTATTTCTACAGCAGTATGGACCAGACGCCGACTTTACATGGAAGTCCTACGAGTGTCGACTTAGTTGTGCTGTCACAGCATCTTCCACGCACTTCTGCCAGTGCTGGTTTGTCGATTGGAGTCTTGTAGGTCGAGATACAGCAGTGGGATTCTCGGGTTTTGGAGGCAAAAGTGAACCAGAGCAAAACATTTCATGCATAGCTCGATTACTACTGCTGTGTTTTTGCAACATCAGTATGGACTAGACGCCGAACGACGTCCGCGTACTACCGCAACGACCTAACTGGATGGGATACTTCCTGCCACGGCGAACCATAGTACAGTGCGATGCAAACATCCGTTCGTGTGTTGCGCGGCTGCCACATGTGTCGACGACAGGTACACGTAGAGCTCTCGCCATGTTGTCGTTACCGCGCAGGAGGACCCCTCGGAGATGTTCCATATGGTGCTACAACGACAGCAGTACTACTGTACATAGATGTCGTAGGAGAGTGGAGTTGTGCTGTCACGGCATCTCCCACGCACTCTCCTACCGGTGCTTGCGTCGATTGGAGTATTATAGGCCGAAATACAAGAGTGGGTTGGGTTCCCGGGTTGTGGAAGCAAACCTGCCTGCAACAACAGAGGAGGCGGTGTTCTATTTACTACGACAATCCCGCTCAACTTTTTTTTTTTGCGACCTAAATGTGGTTGCATATTCTTTGCCACTGCCGAAAAAGACCGCTGAATCTTTACGCAGTCCACCTTTCGCATTTATCATTTTACACCGAACGACGCAGGACGGGTCGACCTTCATCATTGTTGTTGTTGTTGTCTTCACATAAAAAACTGTTTCGATCTCTCTCTACCCAGTAACTTCATTTGTCCGTACTTTCTTGTGGATTACCATTACCTGTTGGAAATTGTGGGAATGAATCCCTTCGTTCCGAGAGAGCCACAGGTCGGCATCCGGCCTTTTCTTTTTTTGTATGCACTTTTCTTAGATGCACAGTTCTTCCTGTACTGTGAAGTTTTGACGTTGCGCTTTTGCCATCGTCGCTGAAGTGTTTGTGGCTTCAAACCTTCTCAGTCGGCCTTCATACTTCTTGCACGTTGATAAGTCTCCGTGGTAACTTCTCCGCGCATGAGTCATACGCAGTTTTGACCTGCGCTTTGACTTTCACGATGGGTATTTTACCTCCCCGTCTTGCATTGGTGAGTACCTGCGCTATACGGAAGGATCGTTCCACAACGCAAACGTCGACGTCTGCGGGGGGGGGGTTGTTCCCTCCGCACTCCTTCCTTGCGGCGGTTTTCACACCGACTTCGAACGAACGTGGGGTGCAATTTCCTCTCTTCGTACCTTCCTCGTCGACCTTCTCCATCGTTATGTACATAATGTATACCTCGATTTTTCGGCTTTTCGATTCCGATAGAGACAAGACTACGGACTGACATTTCCCTTTCACCCCCGACGGGACCGCGCGCTCGTCGAGTGAGTGCCGAAATTCTTCACCGCTTCCTTGCCTCTCCCAACACCGTCCCTTCTTACCGCCCCAACAAATCTTCTCCCCTTCTTCGTCTTCTTCTTTCCTTCCTCCCGGACACTCACCACCATCCGTTCTGGGTGTTGGCCCCCAGCCCCATTGGGGGGCGGGGGGCCAATCCTTAACCCTAGTAATCAATCATAACGAAAACAATGGCCAAAACTAGTGTCTCAAGATGCGCATATGGACTGCTCGGGTGTCACGCCTTGTGCGCATATGTGAAAATGTGGTGGGTAGCCCCAGATACTGAGGTGGAGGCCGTCAACCACACTTACCTGCTGTGTTACGTTCATGGTTATGCTGTGTGCATGGCCATCCTGTCTCGGCGACATTCTATTCTCATTTGCGAGCACAACTACGTGACAACTTCCTGTGTGTCGTTTTTGTAGTTGTGTGGGGTATTGACTTGGCTGTCGGAAAATCGAGTATACAGTTCAGATTCAAGTCGCCAGTCTTCTGCAGTGTCCACCCCGATCTAACATGTATCCTGCCGCTCTATCTAATGACGCCACCGTTTGTTCGTCGCAGAACGCATGCGGAGAGGTGGATGGATGTGAGTGTTATCAAGGTCACTGCTGGGGTGCGCGTCTTGAGGCCTGCGGTGAGCTAAGCCGGAGTATATCTTCGCATTCACGTGCACACGCGCAAGTTGGCCTCGCCGGCATTGCCTCGACGCTTCTCTCGGCAGTTGTGGTGCAGAGTAGGTAGTTTTCCGACAGTTGAAAACAAGCATGGGTGTGCAATAACCTGCAGCAGTTGTATGCACATTGCTCATGCTTGTTCCAAGGGCAAGGTCATCCCTTCCCAGTCGTGCGGGGAATGAATGGGATATCGAAATCAAAGCAACACCTTCTTTGCGCAGCTCCCCGAGCGAGCCTCTTGACTCCAATCTCCTTTTCGTTCGGCGTCGGCCCTCTTCACACCACCCACTGGCGCGCCACTCACGGGGGTTATCGCCATGTACGTACGTGTGTCCTCCACACTACTAGCGGCCTACCACGATGACACCACCGGTAAGGTTTGCCGATGATTTGAGTACGATAATTTGTCGGGCGTGTCTAAATCCCCCCCCGGGGGGGGACTTACGAGAATCCCCCCCTGTTGGGATGATCCGAACTAGGGGTAGCTTGTCGCAAGACATGTGTTGAATAGGGTGTCGGCAACTCGGCGAGCTCGCGCCAAGGAGGAAAGGCGTGTAGGGTTTGTTGCATAGACTTCTTCACATGAACTCACATGAACTGCACGCACACGCGCACGCACCATCAATGAGGGGGCGACGCAATAAACAACAGGGGTATCATACACACCCTGGAAATACATTCCGCGTACCACACAATCCTACGGTATTCCGCGCAACATCAGTCAATGGGAACATTCCGTATCAACCACTTGGCATTGCTACAAGTAGATCTATCAGCCCCCCTGCTTGTGACCATGCCATGTCTTTTCCGATCCTCAATAACTCCAAAACACAAAAAAAAAAATCAGAAACTCAACTCAACTCCAGAACAATAGCCTTCTTGACTAGGCATCAATACCCACCCCCGATCATACCAGTTATACTTCTTCGAACTTCAGCGAACTAATTGCCCCCCAGCCTAGAACACCATCCATTGAGAAAAACCATAATAGGCAAAAATGCAAAATGTTGCCACCCTAGTTGTTTGATCGCACAGAAAATAAACCCAAACATCAAAATATTAACCCATACTCATTTGTACGAAGTTATGATGAAACTCAAAATTTCCCACGTGAAGTGCCTTCGTGCAAGTCAGCATGTTGATACGTCGATTCCACGTGAAAAATCGAAATCTCCTTCCTGCGTACCAAATCCCTGATAAAGTGGTGCCTTACGTCGATGTGTTTCGAGTTACTGTTGCTAATCGGGCTCTTCGCCAACTGAATAGCCCCCTGGTTATCCTCGAACACCCGAATACACGGCATACCTGCTTCTGGCAACATGAAACGCCATACTTGCCTCAGAAACAATACTTCCTTCATCACATCCGCAAGAGAGACATAGACTACTCCGCCTTTGTCGTGCTCAACGTAACGCACTTCTGTAATGGAGCAACTAGTGTATTTGCATTGTACGAGCGTTTCATGAACGTTGTATGAGCGCTTACTGGATATTTTGAATTTTCTTTGGATATGGATATTTGGCGACGTTGAGGGGTATTGAAGTAGCTTGAAGGAAGTTCAAAATCCCAGCCCCGCTCCCTCACTCTCCGAGTGGGCGCTGAGCGGACCTGGTCTAAGAAGGCTAAACAAGAGATCAAACAACAACTGTGAGTACCCGAAGCCAGGAGCAACGAGCTTGCTCCCTTCCCTCTTTTATTTCTCTGTTCCTCCATAACATTGTGGCGTCGTCTGCAAGACGTATAGTAACAAGCAAGTCTCCCCCGTATAATCTGACTGCTGATGATGTTTTAGCGGAGTCTAGTCGTCTGGATGTTGAGAATATTTCAGGACACCAAATTGTACGTGGACGCGGTGGTGTGGTAGCTGTCTTGTACCTGACTCATTGGATTGGTTTGTTGACACCGTCGTGGGAAAGGGAGTCTGATTTGCAGGAATACAGACAACATATTCTGCTTTACTGGTCTGGTAACGCTAGTCAGCGCGTACAAGGAAACCGAGCTTATCGTAATGCTCGGATAGCTTCGGCCGACCGAGAACTTGCTCGGAATCAGGCCGAACGTTTCATTGCTCCCGGGTACGAGTTGGTTTCGCGTGACACTTGGTTGGCTCGCTTCTCTGTTCTGTTTTGCCTGTCGGAGCCCACATTTGGTACAAAGCTTTGGATGGACTTTGGTGGCTTGGGCAGATTGGTAGTTTCGTAACAGGCCAGTACATCGTTCGATTTTTGGACACCCCCGGCCCTCGAAAGCTTTCTCTCCCAGAGTAAAGTTACTCCACGGTTTTGGATGCTCCTTGTGGTTCTTGGTGCTTGCAAAAACACCGTACTCATGGTTTGACCAACCCTTCCACGGATGATGGCGTTACGTCGCGAACACCAGGCGTTGTGGCACCGCTGGCTGTTGCCCCATCTGGATCTGTGTTTTGATATCATGCCGCCTACGGGCCGCTACATGTTTTTAATGTTTTGTTCTACATCGTACGCAGTGGTACGCTAGCGCGTGTTTGGGTGGTGTGAGCTTCTTCTATTGTTGCAATAGTCACCCCGACCTTTGCGTGCCCAACGCGACCGAACCCCATTTTCATTCAGACTGGTTCCGTCGTTGGCGATGTGATTCTCAGTAGTAATCACTGTGTGGTGTGGGGATGGTTTGGAGTATTTGTCGGGGATGAACTATTTCCTCCGACCCTAGTTGCTTTTATTTTATCTTATTTTGTCTGATTTGGAAAGTCGCATCTTCGATCTTTATTTGAGGTTGAGTATTGGATTGAAGATAAAGTATCTGCATCTACGACTTCCCCGGGTGGGCTAATGTAATGGAGCAACTAGTGTATTTGCATTGTACGAGCGTTTCATGAACGTTGTATGAGCGCTTACTGGATATTTTGAATTTTCTTTGGATATGGATATTTGGCGACGTTGAGGGGTATTGAAGTAGCTTGAAGGAAGTTCAAAATCCCAGCCCCGCTCCCTCACTCTCCGAGTGGGCGCTGAGCGGACCTGGTCTAAGAAGGCTAAACAAGAGATCAAACAACAACTGTGAGTACCCGAAGCCAGGAGCAACGAGCTTGCTCCCTTCCCTCTTTTATTTCTCTGTTCCTCCATAACACTTCTGCGTCCTTGAAAACCAAGAAATACATCCCCCCCCACACATCACCAATCCTCCTGACACAGACCTCCTATCGGCAGCCTTACTTGTAGTCTGCGTCTGCGAACACCTCCATGCTCAACCCTGCTACACTACCCCTCCTGAATGTTATTCCCAAGCCACTACTGTAGACCTTACCACATACCCCAAAATACCAAGACCTGCTCTCCAATGAATCTCTTTGGGAGAAGCGCACTACCGTGCAACCACTCACTGCGCTGCTTTCGTGCATGCAGTGTTCTGGTACGAAATGGAGATCATCATGTGATCATGGTATCATGTTATATATATGCTTACAGGATGGTCGTCGTGACGTGATACATTTCTTGTTATTAGTATGGAAAACAATAAAAAAAAGATGGCTCGATTTTTGTATTTTATTCACTACGACAATCCCGCTCAACTTTTTGTTTTTTTCGCGGCATGTGGTCGCATATTTCTTTGCCACTGCCGAAAAAGACCGCTGGATCTTTACACAGTACATATTTTGCATTTATCATTTTACACTGAACGACGCAGGACGGGTCGACCTTCATCGTTGTTGTTGTTGCTGCTGTCTCCACATTAAAAACCGTTCCGACGTCCTCCTCGATACTTGTGGACCACCTGTTGGAAACTGTGGGAATCCCTTCATTCTGAGAGGGAGAGCCATAGGTCGCCATCCGGCCTTTTCTTTTTTTGTATGCACTTTTCTTCTTGTGAAGTTTTGACGTTGCGCTTGCCATCGTCGCCGTGTAAGTGTTTGTGTCTTCAAACCTTCTCAGCCGGCCTTCAAACTTCTTGTTGATAAGTCTCCGTGTGGTAACTTCTCCGCGCATGAGTCATATGCAGCTATGACCTGCGCTTTGACTTTCACGATGGGTATTTTACCTCCCCGTCTTGCGTTGGTGAGTACCTGCGATATACAGAAGGATCGCTCCACGACGCAAACAAACGTCGACGTCTTCGTTTTTTTTTGTTCCCTTCGCACTCCATCCTTGCGGGGGTTTTCACCCCGAGTTCGAACGTGGGGTGCAATTTCCTCTCTTCGTACCTTCCTCGTCGGCCTTCTCCGTCGTTGTGTACATAAACCTCGATTTTTCGGCGTTTCGATTCCGATAGACAAGACTACGGACTGACATGTTCCTTTCACCCCCGACGGGACCGCGCGCTCGTCGAGTGCCGAAATTCTTATCACTTCCTTGCCTCTCCCAACACCGTCCCTTCTTCCCGCCCTTACAAATCCTCTCCCCTTCTTCTTCTTCTTTCCGTCCTCCCGGACACTCACCACCATCCGTCCTGGACGTTGGCCCACAGCCCCATTGGGGGGCGGGGGGCCAATCCTTAACCCTAGTATATATACTCACAGGATGGTCGTCGTGACGTGATACATTTCTTGTTATTAGTATGGGAAAAAATAAAAAAAAAAGATGGCTCGATTTTTGTATTTCTACAGCAGTATGGACCAGACGCCGACTTTACATAGAAGTCGTACGAGTGTCGACTTAGTTGTGCTGTCACAGCATCTTCCACACACTTCTGCCAGTGCTGGTTTGTTGATTGGAGTCTTGTAGGTTGAGATACAGCCATGAGATTCTCGGGTTGTGGAGGCAAAAGTGAACCAGAGCAAAACATTTCATGCATAGCTCGATTACTGCTGTGTTTTTGCAACAGCAGTATGGACTAGACGCCGAACGACGTCCGCGTACTACCGCAACGACCTAACTGGATGGCATAGTTCCTGTCACGGCGAACCATAGTACAATGCGATGCATTCGTGTGTCGTGCGGCTGCCCCATGTGTCGACGACAGGTACACGTAGAGCTCTCGCCATGTTGTCGTTACCGCGCAGGAGGACCCCTCGGAGATCTTCCACATGGTGCTACAACGACAGCAGTACTAATGTACATAGATGTCGTAGGAGAGTGGAGTTGTGCTGTCACGGCATCTCCCACGCACTCTCCTACCGGTGCATGTGTCGATTGGAGTCTTGTAGGCGGATGAAAGGTAAACTACGCGGGGTGCAGCAAGCACGTTCTGGACGTTACTTGGGGCACTGGGTAGTCGGCCGTGTTAGGCCGAGAGAGAGAGAGGTTGAGAGAGAGTGGGAGAAGGAAACTTGATTGGAGAGAGACGGTGTTGGTGGTGGAGAGAGAGAGAGGAAGTGCGCAGCACGCACGCAAGCTTCATCGCACCAACCACGCCAAAAGGGTCCCCGTGACTGCACCGATGGTACCCTGCAACACACGAAATTACCAACACGTATCCCCCTGGGATCCTCACGACCAGATACTGCTGCGAGTATATCTAACATCCCTGCTCGCAACAGTTACTCACTGAAAACTTCGCGAACACTCGATATCTCAACCAAAATACATCTTTCCAAGAATATATGCCATCAAGACTCGACCAGCATAACATAAGAGAGAAAAACAATTCAAAGGAACATGAATACTGCATCGCGCGTAACAAATACTTGGCGCGGGAAATGAAAGAAAACGGGAAACACAACGAGAAACAAAACAAAACCAAAACACAACCCATCAGAAAAACAATAAAATTTTCATGCCAAATTCATTACAAAATCACGGTGAGACTCGAAAGCGTCCTTCGGCAAGCTCTTCGTGAGAAAATCTGCACGCTGGTACGGAGACGGCACGTGGATCACCGAAATTTCCTTCCTCTCTACCAGTTCCCTGAGAAAATGGTGCCTTACATCTATGTGCTTCGAGTTCGAGTTTGAGATGGGGTTCTGCGCTAGTTGAATCGCCCCCTGGTTGTCCTCGAAGACGGGGATGCATGGCATGCCGACCTGCGGCAACATGAAACGCCAAATCTGCCTCAAAAACAAAATCTCCTTCACTATATCACCAAGCGCGACGTACTCTGCTTCTGTCGTCGAAAGCGTGACGTACTTTTGCGTTCTGGAAAACCAAGACACAGCGCCTCCTCCACACGTCACGATTCCCCCTGATACCGACCTACGGTCTGCTGCCTTGCTTGAAAGTCCGCATCAGCGTACCCCTACAAGCTGAATCCTTCTACTGTACCTCTCTGAAACGAAATACCAAAGTGACTCGTCCTCCTCGCATAGCCTAAAATATCCATCGCTGCATTCGCAATGTCTGGCCTAGTTTGAGTCGCCAGCCACATCAACGATCCTACCAGCTCACGAAACGGAAAGTCTGTCGTCACCTCATCCGCATCAAAATCAGAAAGCTTCACCCCCGAAGACATCGGAACGCTCTTACCTCCCACTACTCCATATTCTGCTGCTAGCTCGTCCGTGAAAGTCTGCTGAGAAATCGTCAACCTACCGGTCTCCTTGTTCCTCTCGTAAAAGCACCCAGAATACCATCTCAACTCTCCCAGGTTCTTCACTGGCACGGACTTGTTAAGGTCGGCGCCAAACTTGTCACATCTCTCCCTCTCTCCCACAGCAAAAATGTCATCTACATGTACTACCAAAATCAAAACAACACATCCATCCTCAATCAAACGAAACACGCAAGCATCGGCCATGCACTGCTCAAAACCTAACGCCACCAAACACCTCTTCAGCATTGCATGCCACTGCCTAGATGCCTGTCTCAAGCCATACAGGCTCTTGCCTAGTTTTACAATCATTCCAGATAGAGCTCCACATCCCTGCGGCAAACGCATGTACACGTCTTCCTCCAACTCCAAACGCACAAAAGCTTGCTCAATATCGAAATTACACAAGTCGAGGTTCAACTCGCCACGCCAACGCAGCCAACATCCTAACACACGAAACAGAAACGGTAGGCGCGTACAGCTCTCCAAAGTCAATGTACTCTCTCTGCATATCACCTCTCGCTACAAGTCTCGACTTCACCTTAGTGGGCCATCCAAACTCATCTGCCTTCCAATCGAATACATACCCACTTAGCGTTAATTGCGTTCTCCACTAGTTGCTACTTCGCCGGAGTAAAAGTCCCTGCTTCCAACAAGCCATAAAACTTCCTTTGCATAGAGTCGCTCCAAAGGTGCCAGTACTCCGACGCCATGGCCTCTTTGTAGCTCTTGGGGACACGAAGGTCGTTGGCCTGGCAGTGAGGAAGGTCAGGGCGTTGCTCCGGCGGGCGCTGGTCTCGCAGCGTGGCGTCGATGTCTTCCCGGTTGGCGAGGAGCGTGGCAAATGCGAGTGGAAAGCCCGCTCCTCGAGCCCCCGGGTCCACCGCTGCGAGTGCTCCCGCCTGTTCTCCGGCCCCCGCTCCCCCCGGCTCTCCGGCCTCCGCCCCCCCCAGCTCCCTGCGCTCCTCATCCACCGCGCTCCGAGCCTCCAGCATCGACACCAGAGTGTTCTTGTCTAGCATCGAGATGAGTTCTGTGCTGTGCCTCGTGCCCGATCTCGTACGGCTTGGCAGCCGCGGGTCTGTCATACCCTCGGCCTTTGTACCCGGGCGAAGCTGCCGCATGGCGTGAGCCGTAAGTGGGGGCATCGCGGGGTCCGGCGGCGGCGGCTGGTCTGGATCGAGGGTCGCCGACGGTGAAGGCGAAGAGGCAGAAGACGGCTGGCCAGGGGCGGGTGTCGCCGACGGTGGCGGCGAAGTGGCAGAGGGCGGCTGTGAAGGCGTGGGAGCGGACGGCGGCGTGGTCGCTGGCGGCGGCGTTGCGGCAGGTGGCGTTGCGGCAGTCGAAGGCGTCGGTGCTGGGCCAAAGTTGATCGAGACGACCGGCGGCGTGAACGGGGGGGGTGTCGGTGCAGCGGTGATACCAGCGGAACCCCCCTCGCCGGCTGGCGCCGACGTCACCCACGACACGTTGTTGGTGTAGACGACGCGACCGGCGGACGCCTTGAGGACCTTGACGGTGCCGCTCGGGTGGTTGTCGCCGTCGTTCAGGTAGAAGCAGAGGGTGGCCTGGTCATCGAGCTTGGTGCGGCGATCCTCGCGCATAAAGCCGGGCTGGAAGAACGGCAGCACGCGGAACGACCCTTGCTCGCCGGTGAACACGACCACGCCAAAAGGGTCCCCGTGACTGCACCGATGGTACCCTGCAACACACGAAATTCCCAACACGTATCCCCCTGGGATCGTCACGACCAGATACTGCTGCGAGTATATCTAACAGCGGAAATACAAGAGTGGGTTGGGTTCCCGGGTTGTGGAAGCAAACCTGCCTGCAACAACAGAGAAGGCGGTGTTCTATTTCCTACGGTATCCCGCTCAACGTTTTTTCTTTTTTGCGACGTGTGGTTGCATATTTCTTTGCCACTGCCGAAAAAGACCGCTGGATCTTTACGAAGTCAATCATTCGCATTTATCATTTTACACCGAACGACGCAGGACGGGTCGACCTTCATCATTGTTGTTGTTGTTGTGTCTTCACATCATCAAAAACCGTTCCGATCTCTCTCTACCCAGTACCTTCATATGCCGTACGTGCTTATTTGTGGATTATACCTGTTGGAAATTGTAGGAATCCCTACATTCCGAGAGAGCCATAGGTCGGCATCCGGCCTTTTCTGTATTTGTACAAGTATGCACAGTTCTTCTTGTGAGGTTTTGACGTTGCGCTTGCCATCGTCGCTTAAATATTTGATTTGTGTCTTCAAACCTTCTCAGTCGGCCTTCAAACTTCTTGTTGATAAGTCTCCGTGGTAACTTCTCCGCGCATGAGTCATACGCGGTTATCATGACCTGCGCTTTGACTTTCACGATGGGTATTTTACCTCCCCGTCTTGCATTGGTGAGTAACTGCGTTATACGGAAGGATCGTTCCACGACGCAAACGTCGACGTCTCCTTTTTTTTTTTTTTCCTTCGCACTCCTTCCTTGCCGCGGTTTTAACACCGACTTCGAACTTCGAACGTGGTGTGCAATTTCCTCTCTTCGTACCTTCCTCGTCGGCCTTCTCCATCGTTATTTACATTATGTATACCTCGATTCTTCGCACCACTTCCTTGCCTCTCCCAACACCGTCCCTTCTTCCCGCCCCTACAAATCCTCTCCCCTTCTTCTTCTTCTTTCCTTCCTCCCGGACACTCACCACCACCGGTCCTAGATGTTGGCCCCCAGCCCCATATCTCCCTACAACTCCTACCGCTGGACATGCAACAGACTCCTGTTCGTAACACGCAACTCATTGTCGGTAGAGGGTACAAAGATTCATGACGCCTTCGCATATCCCGTTATCGACGTGAAAGCAAAAATAATGATTCTGAGATCAATCTCTGTATTTTAACACAGACGGGACAAAACATTTCCATAAACTTCAAAGCACTCAAGAAGGTATATATTCGATATACTCGTAGCATAGCATGGGGGTGGTATATTGCGTATACATATGCGGGGATTGCAGTGACGAACTACGGAGGGACAAGAAGTTTCTTTGTGTTTTCCTTGGGAGTGTAGTAGATTGGTGGAGATTCATGGAGATTCGTTCTGGGTATTAAAGCGTTATGCGTGACTTGATGCCGTGATGGAATGACGAGCTCAAGCACGCCCCCGATGAATACAACACGTTTTTCACCACGTCTACACGTCTTTACCTACCCGTGCGGCCCGTCATGGCCGAGCTGCTCTACGCTCCCATCACACACAACTGAGCCACCCGAATTATCGATCACGCTAGCGTATGACACGTCGTCTACGAGATTCGAGTCGAGCTTAGTTTGGAGTATCGCTTTGCGGCGATCAGCAGCAGCCACCGATGAGCGACACCGAGCAAGATCGAGTGAGCGCCCGACTAGCAGAGGAGGAAGCCCGGATCAACTACTTGGTCGAACAGAGGGTAGAAGCAAGACTGGCCGAGATGTCGAGGCAAGAAGCAGAGGAGCGGAGGACAGATGACGTCCGGACCGGAAGAGAGCACGAGGATCGCCACCAGCAACACGCGGGGCGGCCATCGGCCAACCCGACGACCGACGAAATCGCCCGCACACTCGCCGACGCCCTCACCGGTCGACTTCACGTCTCATCAGGGGACATGGGTAGAGTACCCATTAACGCAGGGACGGTTCGAATGACTGAGACTAAGCGCCT